TGTATAATGAAGTATACAACTACTGGCAATTTATATTAAAGCTTATGTATTTATATATAGCGTGGAAATGTGCATTTTCACACTATGTACATACTGTATACAGTATATCTCAATCATTAATAGTTATTTATCTATCCCAGTAACCTTCCTCTCCGTTCCTTTAGACCTGCGCACCTCCAGCAAACTTACACTCACCAAGCACATTAAGAATAGCAGAGCTTTTGGTAGGATATGCAGGACTCTAGGAAAAGTTCTCAGGAGCTGAGCATTGCAATGAAAGGATTTTCATAACAACCATTTTCCTTTTCAAGTGCTGTTAAGGTAAATACTTTGGCATTTTCAATGCAGACTCTTAACATTCCCAGTAAAATTACATGTCTTAAATGCCACCACAAAAATGACTGAGGAGGAGTCTAAAACTGGATGATTATCTTTAGAGCATCTGAGAGTCTGACTATCTGCACCTTCCAGTGGTGTAGAATTCTCAGAGAATGTAGAGAGTGGATAGAATCATCACTGAGGAAATAGAGTGAAGGTTCCCAGAGAAGTAAATTCAGTTCAAATATAGCAGGATAAGAAACTTTAAGCAGGTTTTTCTGTGTGGTTGAGCTGAGAGCAAAGATGCTGTATAAACCCAGAAACAGGAATACAATTTTTTATGACCTAGCACCAAAGGACGGGTTGGACCACATAATATACAGCTTTACCAGTGTCTCCAAGAGACTGAAAATACTGCTACAAAAAAGACCCTGAAAGTGTGTTTGCTTGTAAATGTTTATGTCAATTCCTACTGCTGTGTGATTCTGAATGCATGCTTTCTTTCAATATGGTATTGCACAATCTCCTTTTCAGACCACCTAACATATTGTTGTCAGCTATTATTGTCATTTAAAGTTCAAATCTGTACCTCTACCACTTATAAAATATAAAAAATATCCCAAATACTTTTACCAACCTTTCCAATTCATGTTAAACATCATATTATTTCCCCTTTTGTGTTGGTAAATTCAGATAGTTTGCTAATTACTAAACAAATGAAATCTGATCTGCTTTTCTCTCTTTAGTTTGCAGACTAAGATGAGCTTTTAAAATCACAGTTTCCCTTACCCCCTGAAATTTGAATGCCCTTACTCACTGAAAGTAACTCAGTACAGTTGAAGAGACATATTGCATATTGCAGAAATGTGTTCCACAGGAAGCAAAATTCAATTGTCTTTTGGCTTTTTAAATGTTGTATTTACCTAATTTGTGGATGTACAATACAGATTGATAGGTGGCATGTTAAAGCATTAGTACTGTTTTGCCTTCTGATCACAATCAGAAGGAGTATCCTGCGGTTGTTAGCTCAATGCCACTTGGGACATAAGCTGAGCCCCCAGCTGCACCAGGGTGTCTGATGATGAAATAACCAAAACACCAGCTGACACCAAGGTTACATCTCTGTGTGTCCAAGAGCAGTGAGAGATACACGTTTTCATTTTTTATCATGTTATGCACAACCGTTACTTTAATAAACTGAGTAATGAGTGTTATCTTACATACAAAGTAGGACTTCTTTTTTGCACAAATATATTTACAGATGAAGTCCTGAGCATAAAGTACAGATGGAAATTCTTCTTCCATATTTCTGGGTAGCACTAAGGTTCTGACTCATCTGACTTTGTGCAATTGCTCAAAGCTCTTTTTGTGTGACTGAAAATTCTTTTTTGCCAACAGCCAATAGAGTTTCAATATTTCAATATTTAATTACCAAATCACCTTAGGAAACGAGTTTGGTTTTTGCTGATAAAAGAAAATAAGAAGGTGATATTGCCAGCCAATATGACACAATACTTAATCTTCGGTGCTGGCAACAGAACTTGTAAAATGTGGAAGAAAACCAAATCCTGTCTTATGGGCAGCAGGCAGTAGTGTTAATAGTGTAAACGTCAAACTGCATAGCCTCCAAGAAAGAGAACATGAAAAAAGTGTTAAAGCAGAAACGGCTACAGCTGGACTAAAGCGCTTGAAGATTAGAAGCAAAGCCCATCACAAAAAATCCATGGAAAAACTGAAAGGAAATTAGTAGTGTAGCTTAGTCATGTACACAATTATTGAGAGCTCATTAAAAGAGTGAACAGTCTTTTTAGTATTCTTTTGCTGCAAATCTAAAAAAGCATTTTTCTCCATTTCTGTTACAGAAGCAAAGCACCTTAAATAATGGAGGTAAAATTTAATTCAATCAGTGACACATTAAATTAATCTTATATTATTTATTCATTGGTTTTAGTCAAGATACAAAAAGTGCACTTACTTGGAGGTAGCAATGGAAGGTTAGTCTATCTTTGAGATTCTGTGGCAAAATTATTTACAGCGTGGTTGCGCACCAGTTTCAGTTTTACGTAATGCAGTCCAGAGTCCAGTGTAAAGGAATTGGATAACCTGTAATATGATACTTGGGCAACATTTGCTTCATGCTATATGTAGAATGGTGTACAACATGAGTAAGATGGAAACGTTTAAAACATTGTATCTCACTCTAAGTGGGCATATTGAGACATTATAGCATACCTAGTTATGTCATATTGACCATTTGAAAATGAAAAAGGAGAAACTCCCACAAAAGGCAATGAACAAAACCCACATGTATTGTAGAAATAATAATAATAATGTTATTTTTTGTTGAGAAAGCTTCATCAGATTATGGAATTCACAAGTTTGTTGCCCGCTTACACCCGTTAAGCAAATATGTTCTCAATTAACCACAAATCAATATTCTCCGACTATGTGAATCTACAAAAATACGTTTAAGCGTTTAATTATTCATTAGGTTTATTAATTCAACTCCTAGTGGATAACAAAACTCCTAGTGTCTACAACAAATACATACAGTACATTAGGCATAAAGAAACACTAAATGTCTTCAAAAATAGCTTCACACTCCATCTGTAAGGGTCAATTGTAAATATTACCTCAAAATTCTCGTATTTCCACATAAGAACAGATGTATTCCAGGTAAGCATACAGTAATATTCCTTTTTAAAATCATAATTTAAAGGTCTAATAAAATTGGTATGCAGTACATTTTAAATGGTTTTACACTAGAGCAAGCACTCATGTTAGGACTCTTAACTAGTCTTCTTGGAAAACAGTGGTAATAGAATTTTAAGTCCCGTTCACTCTCTTCAGCTCTCTTTTGGGTGGTAATGTTAATATACTGCTGGAAAAAAAAAGTTTTTTTTATTTGTATCTTTTAATTTTTTTAATCTAAGGCCTCGGTGAGCATGGGGATCAAAATATAAAAGCAATGTAATAAATTTACAATTGTTATTGTTTTTATTGTTGATTTTGATTTCCTAAATTCAAAACGCAACTGTTTAAGACTTTGCATCTGCCAAAACATTGTGAACTGGATTTTATATGCATCAGTTTTACAGATCTAGCCATTGAGAATGTACACTGGAAAATGCAGCACACTGCTTAAATTAATCTGTATAAAGATCCAGCC